TAAATTTGATAGATAACCTAGACCTATAGATTGAATATCGGATGAAAATATGTTAATACCTATTAACTTGAATTCTTCAAATGATATTTGATGACAAACCAATACCTATTGACTTGAAATCAAGCCACGAATGAAAATCATGTCGCAAACAATCACGACAATTTGAATTATATGCAATAATTCAAGAAAGCAAGAACAAACGTTCAAAATTCAACTTCAAATATTGAATATCAATTACAATGCTTAAAGAGGCTATTTATAGCCTTACAAGCTATTACAAAAGAAATGAAACTAGTAAATAAAAAGGAAACTGCCTAATAAAAGCTTAAAAGAAAATAGAATAACATAACATAAAATTGTTCCCATAAATAAGGTAGCATATAGAATCATCGTCCTTAAGAAATCAAAAAAAAAGTTCACGTGTTAGGAGCTGCTCCCAACCAACTTTCGCATCCATCATCAGTCTGTTCGCATCCAATAGTTATTCGCATCCATCACTCGTTCGCATCCAATAGTTGTTCACTCGTTCGCATCCAACAACCCATGTAATCCGTCACATTCATACATCCCATTAGAACCGAGTAGTACGTTGGAACCACATAACTTTTGCATCCAATCCCAACAATATATAATTCATTAGATCCAACACCAAGCAACAACCCATCAGAACCAAACTACACCAATCTGATCCATGTATGTGTCAGAATCACATCATATCTCACTCCGAAGTTGTTCGCAACCATTTGACTGTGATGGGTTGTGATCGTTTGCATCTAAGTGTGTTCAACTTCTTGTGCGCATTCAATAATACTTTGAGGCTAGAATTCACATCTGAAAACACTAGACTACAATTCATTGCGGTCGTTCGCACTCAATCGCAACTAAGGCTTGGCTCAGAACTTGAACTCTTTTTGGAATGGGAACTCAAATTTGTATCATTGGCTCACCTATATCACATCACGTAAATTGACCGCGCCACACATTTAGACATTTTTCCCAAGCTACATGCATACAATCCAGACTACTAAGCATACCCGAAAATCCATGTCTCTCTTCATGAGCCAAATATGATATCTCTGTAACATCCGGAATCTCAAGTATGTTATTCTAATATTTTATTTTTGAAATTTGTGAAGGAACTCGGTGAGTTGATGCTTAGACTCGCCGAGTAGGGTCGTGGTTGATCATCCGGGTTCGCGTTGGACTCGGCGAGTCCACGCTGTTTAATGAAACCCTAATCCTCCGAGGTTGGAGCCTATTTAAGGGCACTATTAGCCTTCCATTGTGGCTACCAGTCCCTTGAGAGCACCCTAAGTGAGAAAGATCGGTTGGGAGGAAGGAGAAGCCATATTTGACCTTTCTATCTTTGGTTTAGCAAGAAGAAGGTGATCAAGAGCAAGAGGAGACTGAAGGAGGTGTGGTTCTAGTGGTTTCAGAGTTTAGAGACTTCAACTTGAGGTATTTATTCGGACCTTCTTCAGTTTTGGTATTGATACTTAGAGTTAGGGTTTTCTATCCACTTTTGAGGATGTTTAGGTGGAGCAATTGGTCTCTTATCGAGTTTATGCTTTGGATCTGGACTCAAAGAGGTCCAGAGACCTTATCCCTTGGAGCTTTATGAGTTATCTTGGGAGTTATGAGCTTAGGATGCCATTTTTAGGGCTAATCCCCCAAATGATGCCATCAAGGTGATATATGAGTGTCAAGGTCTGAACTTTACGTGATTATCATGCTTGGGAAGGACAGATCTATGGATTTGAGGAACATATCTGACCTCAGGAGGTCAATGGAGTTTGTGCATGGCATGTACTCGCCGAGTTGTTCTTGAGACTCGGCGAGTTGAGTCGGGGTAGCCCCGCGATTCTTCCTGGGGACTCGTCGAGTAAAGGGAGGGACTCAACATGTTAAATGGGACTAAAGAGTTAAGTGGACACAGGTGGACTCGCCGAGTTGCCCAAGTGCACTCTCCGAGTCAGGTCAAAGTTTGACCGTTGACTTTGGTTGACTTTTAGGGTTTGGTCAACAACGAGGGCCTTTGAGCCAAAGGAGGGGTAAAATGGTCTTTTACCCTTCTGAGGGAGCTTAGAGAAAGTAGAGTCTAGTTCTGAGAGTTATATTTATGAGAATATTACTTTATGTGTTTAGGCGGAGGCTAGATCGTATTTCTACCGAGTCAGTGATTTACCGAGACATATGAGGTGAGTCTTCTCACTATATTGTACCTGGAAGGGTACCTATGTGACCGGAAGGTCTGGTATGCTCTAAGACATATGCATTGTACGTGATTAGTTACCAGTTTTGTATGTTATGCTTGATATGGGCCGGAAGGCATTATGTTATGGGCCAGAAGGCATTATGATGTAGACCGGAAGGTCAGGGAGTATGGGCCGGAAGGTCGACACGGGTAGGGCCGGAAGGTTTACCGAGTTGGGACGGAAGTCCCCTGAGACACATGGACCGGAAGGTCATGACCTGGAAGGGCGTATGTGTGTAAGTGGTATTTTGGGGAACTCACTAAGCATTTATGCTTACAGTTGTTGTGTTATGTGTTTTAGGTACTAGCGAGAACCGTGGGAAGGCGCCGGCGTGATTCGTACACACTAGAGAAAGGATTTGATTTTTGTAATCTTGGGATACGATATGTTTTGATAATTATCGTTGGATGTTTTTGGAAATATTTATGTGAAAATGGTTGTGACAAAAATAAAATTTTTGTTTTGAAAAATACGTTGTTACAATCTCAATATCGCGTGGAGTAGGTTTACACAAATATCCTTTGTGGAAAACCCATACATACATACACAAAACCAATCTACAAACTCAACTGCTATCCTTTCGGATATTTTCAAGTACTCTCGGATGTATCAAAGGTTATACGATATCCCAAATACCTATGTGCAACCGCATATTTTTGTATACTACTAAAGCTCATTCTTCTTCTAGCATCGAGTTTTTGTTTAAAAAATCATAACGGACCTCTTAAGCATTACTAATACGTAAAAATATAGCTTTATTAAGACGGAAACAACATTCGAACGCATCTTTAATTGTAAAAATAAATTATCGGCAAAGTAATCACGTACCAATAAGTTGTGTGAGGCTTGACGAACTCTCTTGAACACGCAACATTCGAACTTTATTCATCGTAAATATGTTATACAACGTTGAAGAAGGTCGAGATGAATTCTCCGTCATTATCCGAGTCAAAATTCTTAAAGAAGTCCATGTCTTTTTGTTTTAGAAATAAAGTGTAAAATTTGATGAAAAGTGAGGTTTATGTATTATATTTAGAGTAAATTACACAAACGGTCCTATGGTTTAGAGTAATTTTCACGTTTGGTCCTTAACTTATTTTTTTAACTCGGAAGGTCCTTACTATTTCTTTTTTGTTACGCACTTGGTCACCACTTTTTGTTTCTGTTACGCGTTTGGTCCATGTCTTACCTAAAAATATTATTATTTAAATAGGGAAAATTGTGGGGTATGTAAGATAAGGTGAGGGGATAGGGTTGGGGTGTATTTATTTAAATAAATTAAAAAAATCAATGATAAAATAGATTTTTTAGGTAAGACAGAGATCAAACATGTAACAAAAACAAACAATAAAGATTTTCCGAGTTAAATAAATAAGTTAGGGATCAAACGTGCAAATTACTCTAAACCATAGGACCGTTAGTGCAATGTACTCTTATATAGGTAATGAGTTTGAATATAAAATAATAATAATAATAATAATAATAATAATAATAATAATAATAACTTCAAAAATACAACGGTTGACCGATCGAATTGGCAAACAAGATTCTCATTGGTCATCCACTCCCATCATAGCCATCACGAAATGCAAAGACCACAACTCATGACACATTAAGACGGTGTGCTCGTGGTTTGTGGCCACGTATGCCACAGGCGGTCTCGTGCTTAGTTAACCGTATGGTCTAATACTACATTGGATTTTTTTGTTTTTAGCGTTCTAGTTAAATATTAATTTTATTTTCAAAAGCATATTCCAAGAAAATAACGACTAATGTGTTGTTTGGTTCGTTGGAATCCATTGGAATTAGATAGAATTGGAATTTAATTCCATCACTTTACTTTGTTTAGTTCAAGCTTTCAAAATGAATTGGATTCCTAAATGAGTCAAATTTTTCTTCCAATGAGAGAAAATAAATTTCATTCAAAAACTTAAGGATTTAAAATTTCGTTTAAATAAGAATGTTGAATGTTACCATATTACACATTTTACTTTAAACACTACGTATGAAACATATATATCGCCGCCAGCTCCACCTCCTCCAATACCGACCACCCACACCACCGCTACACACCATCACCACCATTGGTACCTCCGTTACCACCACCCTCCACTTACTAGTACCATCACCTCCACCACAACCACCGCTACCCACCATCTTATCACTACCTTTGTCACGACCACCACCTCCTCTACCACCACACATCACCATCGTTACCACTCGTTACACACCACCTCTACAACCACCCACCATCGCCACAACCACCCAACACCATCACTCTCAACCATCACCACCTCTACCACCACACTACCTTCCACCTCCACCATCACTCACCACCGTGACCATATCATCACTGCCACCACCACCGTCATCACCTAAGCCACCAACACCGACACCTTCACCGCCACCGTTACTACCACCACTACCACCTCCATCACTACACCACCCACCACCTCCACCACTCCTCATGACTGCTACAATCACCATCACAATTACTACCACCACCACCATTACCTCTACTACTATCCACTATCACCTTCGTCGTCATCATCACTATTTCCACCATCAACATCATTGGCGCCATCACCATCACTTACTAAATTTATAATTTATATAATATATTTTTACATATAAATAATAAAACAAAGTAAAAAAACCAAAAACAAAATGAAATCTTGTTATTTTATATTATTTTAGTTTCATTTTCTACCAACCAAACATAATATAAAATTAGATTCAAATTTCATCCCTACCAACCAAACAAAATATAGAATTGAATTGCAATTCCTGATAGAATCCAATTCCTTAACAAATTTCAATTCCATTCAAAACATTCTACCAACCAAAGGACACCTAACAATAATTTAAGCAAGCACCCTGCTGCATTTGCAACAGAATTACATTATAATCATCTCTAGTACAAATCACAAATTATTGATTCCAAAAAGTCAATAAACCCTACCACAACACATCATGATACAATGATGATGCTTTATTTTCCCTATTTATTATTCATAATACACTTAACTATATCCAAGATCCTAAAATAATCATAAAACAACGACGAGTGTTCCCCTTCAAGCCCATCCCGGCTCACCCGATTACTCCCGGCTAGATTATTACACGGACTGCCACCCACAATGAGGTCGAACCCACCGAACGACCCCATGAACTGCTCGAGCCGGTCTCCGTTTAGTTGTTGCACGTCGGCTAAGTGAATCAGATTCCCTTTTTGGTTTGTTTGTTCCCACCAGCTTCTCACAATGTCACGGTTTGCTTCCGAGATTTCAACCGAGACCACGTTTTTTAGCGGGATTCCGAGCCTGTGGAGTGCAACTTCGGCACCACCGATTCCGGAGAAGAGTGATAGCATGTTGATTCCGTTTGGGAATTTGTCTTTTAGTACTGATAGATGATATGCTACTGTGTCTACCTGTAGACAAAATATAAACCTTTTGTTTGTGTATATGATAATATCATTCTGTTATTTATTTTTTTAGATTTCTTTTGTTATTTAACACGGTTTGGGAACATGTCTTTTAGCAACGTATATTCAGGTACTTTGAAAATATAAGATCTTACGCTTTGAGAAATATATATATTTTTTTACTAAATCTAACAAAAAGTTAAAAGAAACATAGTAAAATGGAAGTATATACAATACAAGGGTGTAAAATCAGACATTTTATTGAAAAACGATGTGTTTGTTTGTAGATAACTGTTTTCACTATTCTAATTTACATACAATTTGAAAAACAGAAAATGTTCATTTTCATTTTCTTGGAAAATTTTGAAAACCAAATCTCCGCGTTTTCAAAATTTTCGTTTTCATTTGAAAATTTACATGGAAAACTAAGAAAAAAAATTCATTTTCATTTGAAAATTTAGATGGAAAACTAAGAAAAAATTTTTGCAACCAATCGCACTCATAACAGTAGTGTTTTTTTAAAAAAAGTACAAAATTTTCAATATTTCTCATTAGAGTCTACCCAGTTATAACAGTGAAAATTGATTTATATTCGAGTATGACACTATTATAACTGGGTTTTGGATTTTCATACACAATGTCATAATAGAAAGATATGTTATTTCTTTAATTTAACATAACCTCAAAAATAATAAAAGGTAATTAACTAATTATTACCTGAAACGAGTTGCCAAGTGATTTGTATCTATCTGTTCTACTAATCCCTCCTCCTCTGGTATGATTCCTCGGAAACCCTAACAGCATTTCAACTTCATCAGGCTCTAATGGCGCCACCTTGTTCTTCCCAACCCAAACCAAGTTCCACTTCCGACATTGCTCAAGAACAAACTTCTGAACATGCACAGGTGGATTATCCCCCCATTTTTCAAGCGCTTTCCTGATCCTATCAGTCAATTTCGCACTTCCAATCACCGTTTGCAAACAGTTCAGCTTCGTTCGCTTATCCCACTCCGGCCACCACCTCTTCGTCAATGGCAGCGCGTCGTTTACAGTGCGAGGAGGAAGAGGAAGAAGCGGGAATCGGTTTTTAATCGGAAGGTTGTGAACGTACCCGCGTTTTCTAGCGGCGGCGCAGAAGTACTTTGAATCGACGAATTCCGGTTCGACGTCGTATAGGAAGCGAGAGATGGTGTCCCAGACGCCTTTTGGAGCTAGGGCTACGTTTTCGTAGTAGAAGAATGGAGGTCCGATGGCGGCGTCGGGGAGGACTCTGTGAGTGATGACGTGTGTGTCGGTTGGGACTCCGAATCCGATCATCGGATTTGGAAGACGGAGACCTTCGTCTTCTTCGGATAGAATCCCCTTTCGCTTCTTGGTTTTCCATATCTCGAGGTCGTATAATTTTCGCTTCTTGAAATCGCCATTGACGCGAAGTGGGAGCTTCGGTTTCTGAAATCAGATGCATAATGAAAATGAAGACTAATAAAATTTATTAAGTAGCGACACTTTTAATGTACATTAATTAAAAGTACATTAATTAAAAGTGTAGTAAAATAACTACTTTTTTATAGGAAGATAAAGATAAGGAGAAGGAGATTAATTTTTAAAAAAAATTTAAATATAAAAATCAAAATATTCGAGAACTTTGAACTTATAAGAAAATAAAAAAATAATGAATTATTAAAAATGTTTTTGAAATTAAATGGTAAATTAGTAATAAGCTTTAATTTTGATAATTTTGAAATTAAATGGTAAGTTATTAATAAAATTGATATCTATTTATTACTACGTTTATTGCAATTATTATATTAAAATATTATGTTAAATTTTAATAAAATAATTAAAAATAACTCATAAAATGATGTGGAAAAAAATTAATTAAAAATAACCATAAAATGATATTTGACGATTAAAAGAAAATGTAACAAGTAACAAAAAAAAACTTTATTTATTGGAGAATATAAAATAAAACTATTATAATAATCACGAATTTTATGCAAAAAACTTCCATATTCTTTTTTTGCAATAATATTTAATTTTATTAACTTATGCAACAAGGTTTTCATTTTTTACCAATTGTTGCTATGCAACAATGTTTTATTTCGTTTACAAATTTTACCAGTAAAACCATGTTTCAACCCGTTACACAAGTTACCAGTAAAACGTTATACAACCTAAAACAAACATTGTTGCATTGCATGTATATCATAGAAAACTCAAAACCACTTTGTTGCATAAATTGGAAAAAATGTGAAACATTGTTACATAAAAGTGCATTTAGCCTTTTTTTTTTTTTAATCTATTTAGGAGGTCATAATTTGTAAACATTTTAAAGTTTTTTTTTTTCTTTATTAGCAACTTTTTAACTTTTGTTGTTCGACTCACGACCAATAAAATATAACTCAAACTGTACCATAAATATGTCAAAATAACCCCCCTTTAAAATAATTTTTTTTTTTTTAGTTTCAGGAGTTGAATAAATACCTCTTCCTCAAAAAATACGTCTTCTGTTTTTGCCATTTGGGCAGCACAGATAAAATCAGTTAGTTCTACAATAGAAGCTTCCGGCCCTATAACGAAAAACAGTCAGTCGTTATTTGGTTTATACCATTTAATAATTAAAAAAGTAAACTTTCTTAAAAAAATATTTTTTAAAAAAAATCTACTTACCACATCTCTCCATGGCTGCTGAAGCCTCCTCTATGCTATACCCCATATTTGCTAAGGATAATAATGATTTCTCATGTTTAGGTAAAGAACTGGTATTATTCTGTTCAACATAGATTTTCATACATCAAGATTCTTTGACAATTTCAAAAAGCATTTTTAATTTAAACAAAAAAAAAAAAAAAAAAAGGGGTAATTTTGTCCAAACAAATTAACGAAAAGGACTAGACACCAATAAAGCAACCTTTGACAGCTCATAAAGCTATGTTGATGGAACCAGACTAGACTAGACTTCACCAAACAACTTTATAGACTATTTTGGAATAATACATGAGGGTATTTACGTCTTTTGCACAAACAAGTTTAAAACTGTTGCAACTTTTTTTCCACCTTTTTTGGTTGCACATAGAGTTGCAACTTTTATCTTGATGTAAGTTTCAATATATGTCAAACACAGTCTCAATGTATGTCAAACACAGTATAAAACACAGTCTCAATGTATGTCAAACACAGTATAACATTATCGTATTCTGTCTAAATGATGACTAGACTTCACCAGACAGCTTTATAGACTATTTTGGAATATTAAATGGAGAGGGTATTTACGTCTTTTGCACAAACAACTCTAAAACTGTCCAACTTTTTTTGGTTGGACAGAAAGTTGCAATGCAATTTTTTGTCTAATTGATATCAGTCTCAATGATATCAGTTTCAATGTATGTCAAACACAGTATAACATTGTCATATTCTGTCTAAATGATGACGTGGCAAGAATTTAACTTACAGCTACTTCACTACCACCAGACCAACTGCTGTCATCAGACTCAGAGAGATCATCACAAAGGCTCTCATCATAATCTGATGACAATTCACCATTTTCTACACATTGTTGTTGTTCTTGTTGTTGAGGAGAATTGAGATGACATGAGTTTAATTCATCAGGAGAATCTTCAACTTCAAGAACCTGTAAAAATATTAGTATACCATTATGTCTGTTTCTTTTTGACAGATTTGCCCTTCTTTTTTTTCCTCTCACATTAAACAGAATAAGAAAGCAAAAACAAAGCTTACTGAGTATGTAAGTAGAGATTCAAGTATTGATTCTGTATTCGCCTCCCCTACACATATCAATCAATCAAAATTTATATATAAAAAATATATATATTATATGTTTATAGCATTTAAATTATATACCATTTTCTTTAATTGCTTTTGCAATTGATTGTTCAGAAAACCCCATGCCAAGAAAATGTTGAAACAAATTGGAGTTTGAAGGGCCTGAAGATGAGCTTGCCTTGAGATGAAAAAATAAGAAGTTTAGTGAAAAAGGGATTTAATTTATGAGATTTAATAAAAAAATGGCATAAAATATTAGGTAAGAAAATGATTTACCTCTCCATTACTAACAATAGTTTGTGCATTGAGAGTTGCTAAAGTTGAATGAGATGAAGGAGTTATGTTTTGGATTTCAAGTTCATCATCTGTATTCCAATCAATATTTTCATACTCCTCACCAGAAGCATTCCCATCCTATAAAAGTTTTAAAAAAAAAAAAAAAAAAATTATTATATGGAATAAATAACAATGTATTTTAGTCTATTTGCTTATTGTTGCATTCTACTTTTGTTTATTCATATCTAAGCAAAACATGAGAATAGATGACGTTTGAACAGAAAAGTCTCATTATTTTTTGAAAGTTTATGAGAAAGTACTAAATTTTATTTTGAACAGAAAAGTCCTGATTATTTAATTTTACATGATAATCTGTTGTTTCCTGTTAAAAGAATAAGGATTTTTTTGTTAGTTTAGGCAAAATATTAAATACTCGGGACTTTTCTGTTCAAATAAAAAATTTAGGACTTTATCAAAAAAGTTTCCTAAAATAATACTTTTCTGCATAAAACCCTAATTTTTACTTTTATAATTGGATAAAATTTTCAAAGTTAAATCCTTAAATGAAAACGTAATGTTGTAATAGAAAGAAACAAAAGTAGGATGCTATAATACATAAATAAATAGAAGTATGTTGCTATTTATTGTATTTAGCCTAAATGAAAAGGAGTACAATTTCTCTATAATCGGGTGGATTTTTCTATAAATTGAGAGTATATTTTGGTAGTTTTTTCAAAGAAATTGAAAGATCAATGATATGATAAAAAGAAATGAAAGTAGGATGAGATAATACAAAAGTATGTTATTTTCATTTCTTTCTATCACCCTTTAATCCCTTTGTATTGTATCTACTTCCTATTTGCTACGTTTTTTTAACTTTTTGTTAGATTCAGTAAAAAAAACAAAACATCTTTTCGAAATTTCAAAAATGTTCATCAGATTTCGGATTTTTTTTTTTTAAATTACAAAATAGTGCTTTTTTATCAGAAAATACTTTTAACATGAAGTAAAGTTCAGAATGACCCATTCAGACCATTTTTCCAAAACATTAAAAAAAAAAAAAAAAAAAAAAAAAAAAAAAAAAAAAAAACTCGGTCATTTCGATTAAATCTTTCATTTTTTATGGTCATTTTTGTCAATTGTTGAAAATAAACAATACAAAAGATGGTATCAAAAAGTAGTACCATTTCAATATAATCTTTAGTCTTGCACAAGTAAATCCCTCAATCTGTTCAAAAAGAAAATTGAATACAAAAATTAGAGCAATCTTTATAACATACAATTATTTAAAAACAGAGTCATGCAATAATTGCTACTTCAATATGTTTATTAGAATATAGATTATAGCTATTCTAATAAACTCTATAAATTGCTTCTGTAAGTAAACATCAGGAAAAGCCTCACTTACAGAAGTTAAAAGGGTTTTAAATAGTTATAAAATCCCAGTTTAAAAAGAAAGCAAGTGCTTTATCACACAATGTAAAAAAAAAAAAAAAAAAAGATTGTGCCTTTATCACGCAAAAATCGTACATTCTCACCTAGTTAACCTAAAATTCGAGATTTCACAGAATGAAAACCCTAGTCAGCTTCAAGTTATCTGCTTTGAAACCACCGACAAATCATCAAACACTTAATTCTCAAAGAAAACGATTAAAGCTTCAAATGATCGAATTCGGGTGATGCGCAACAACCAACATTGAAAGTAAACAGAGAATTAAACTAATTTGAACATAACTTACCAGATTAGCCTAAAATCCAAACGATTTTGAAGCTAATATCCGAAATGCACTTCCTGATACATGAAAAATTGAAAAAAAATAATCAAACGGGTGAAACAAAAATTGGGGGAATTCGTCGTTGGCTGGCAACTACATATCAGTAATTGAAAAGGAGAAATTGGGAAAATTGATTCAATCAATACAGGACAAAGCAAGTAAATGCTTATTTACACATGTTCCGAGTTTCTGATTCTGGCCCCTTCGCCGATTAGGGGAGAGAAAGAGATTCGCAAGGGAGCTTCGTGAAGAGCCCCTTTGACGAAATGTTTTTGTAACGGGAGAAGCATATTTAATACTCCTTTTCTCGGACAAAATTGCAAAATTGGTCCTGTGGTTTGCCATTTTTCCGGTTTAGTCCAATGAGTTTTTAAATTGCGGTTTTGGTCAAGTTTGATTGACGATTGTAAAATTTGAAAAGATTGATTTATCCATTTGACTTTTTATTATATTTTTTATTATCACTAAATACAAAATACAAAGGCCCACATAATAATACTACCCATACCACCCTCTTCTTCAAATGTCATCTTCTTATTCTATTTTCCTACTCACCACACCACCACTCTACATATATTTGTCGTTGCCGGAAACCACCATCACCACACTAAGAGAATCACCTCTACCATATATCAACTTCCTTTGATTTATTTACTACCTCTTGAAACTGTAATTGATGAAATTAGACAATGTTTTATGCTAAAATCAAGATAACTCTTCATGAATGAGCCGATGGCAATGTGAGAGACACTAAAAAGAGTGGAGAGCTGACTAAGATATGTTATCTTGCTGATACTAAAACATCCTAGAAACATCATTGGAAATTCCTAAAACCTTAAGGATCATCTATAAGCAATGGTAGAGGATTGGAAGAATTTAGGTGTTGAAAGTGATCGTTTGACTATAGATAAATGTTGGGGATGAAGAGGTGGGTGAGAGCTACCATTAGAGGATTTGATGACATAGTTGTAAAGACAAAAATGGAGGGAGTAAGGGAGCTATATGTTGGCATGCATCGACATAACATAATTCAATGTTGTCAAAGAAGTCAAAAGGAAGGGTGATGTGTTCAATAGTCTCTTTAGTGGAAAACAATAGGGGTGGCAGAGTCATCAATGGAAGCTTGAGATGGTGGAGGAGAGAAGAATAAGGGTGAACGTTCTGTTCTTTTATTTTGATGAGGAGGTTATTGTGTGAGTAGGTCGTATGCAGGCCTTTGTTTTTAATAATAATAATAATAATAATAATAATAATAATAATAATAATAATAAATATTGAAATGTAAAAGATAGATCAAAGAGGTAAATCAGCATTGTCAAGTTAGATGGGATCAAATTCGCAATAAGACTACCCCAAACGGTCAAAACCGCAATTTAGAAGATTGTTGGATCGGATCAAAAGAAAATTGCAAACTATAAGGACCAACTTTTCAATTTTTTTTCTTGGCAGATATTTGAGATGTTAATATCGATGGATCGTACAACTACACATCCTCTTTCATTACATATTAGTTTCTATTGATCATACAACTACACACGCTCTTTCATTATATACTAATTGTGAGACCCATGAAATATATATATATATATATATATATATATATATATATATATATATATATATATATATAAAGGTCAAAATGTTTGAGAACTCTGAATTTATAAGAAAATAAGAAAAATAATTAATTATTATAATTAAAATGTTTTTTATCTTTTAAATTTAAACAAATAATTTTAATAAATAAAAAAAACTAATGTGCATTAATTTGGGAATTTTGAAATTAAAAGGTAAGTTCGTTAATGAATTAATATCCATTTATTAGTATATTTATTGTAATAATTATATTAAAATATTATATTAAATTTAATAAAATAGAAAAATGCATAGAATGACATGCGGAAAAAAATTATTCAAAATAACCATAAAATAACATTTGACAAATTGAATGAGAGTGTAACATGTGGCAAAAAAAATAAATAAATAAATAAATAAAACTTTCATTTATTAGAGTAAACTAGTTTCTATTTTCTAATTAATATAAGAACAAGAGAGTATAAAGAGAGACTAAGCCCATAAAGGATGTAACTTATTTCTAAATTAAACATTATTTAAGGTATCAATTTCAATGAAAAATAACAACAATAGCAAAACTCATTTTCCATAAAAATGGGTAATGAAATTCAATGTAAAATTACAAGCTTTATTATATCCAAGTGATTTTGAATGTGCATAAAGTTTCATATTTCAATAATATGATGTGTGGAAAATAATGTTATTAAAGTTGTTAGACAGATCTAAGTTGGTCGACTATGGAGTAGCAAATACTCAACCTAGACGGTGAGTACTTGAATTTGGTAATTTATAAAGAAACTAATTTTCTGAAAATTATATATATATATATATATATATATATATATATATATATATATATATATATATACAAAACTTCAAAAATGGTTCTTGTGGTTTCCGAAAATCTAAAGTTTAGTCCCTAAACTTTAAAAACCTCACAGATGGTCCCTATGGTTTCAAAACTTTTAACAAAATGTCATTTTTGCTAACTCTGTTAACTTTTGGCCGTTAAATGAATGATATTTCTGCCTTTTCACTACCACATGGACCATTTATGAAGTTTTGCCTTATTTAAAAAAATAATAATTATTATTTAATATTAAATCTCTCTCTCTCTCTCTCTCTCTCTCTCTCCCCCCCCCCCCAAACTGGAAACCCAAATTCATAATCTTCGGATCACAATTTAATAATTTTCGTATCACCACAGTGGTAGAAGAAGAGCAAGTAGCGATATCAGTCCTCATTAATTATTGTAAAGTTGTAGAGAGATTAAGAGATGGGTAAGGGAGGAAAGAGTGATCGCTCAAATGTTGAAGAAGAAAACATGGTTGCTTATCTTGTTTCCACCAACACCCTCAATATCCAGCCCTTTAAGCTTCTACCTCTTGGTATCCTTTCTATCTTCATCTTCCACTTCTTAATTTCTAGTTTGTACAAGTAAATCAAGATTAATTTCAATAGTTGATTAACTTGATTGAATCAATTCAGGGCCTTATGATGTTAGAGTAAGAATGAAAGTTATGGGTATATGCAGTAGTGATGTTCACTATCTCAAGGTCCGTCATTATCCCCCTCACCCCTTTTAGGGTTTCATCTAATTCTGGATATGTGATTTTGCCAAATTGAATAATCAGAATCCTCTTTTGAATTATGGGTGCTTCTTGATTATTATTTCTATTTACTTGATAGAATATATATAAAGTAACAATCGATGTAATTGATCCCCGATACAAATTTTACAGTGAAAACATACACATACATCAAGATGTGCAGATTTTGTGGTGAAAGAACTGATGGTTATCTGTGACAACCTGAAACTTTTATCCTGTGCAATTGATCCATGAATCAACATTAAACCCGAATTCACCATATATTAGCGACATTGTGGATTCATATGAGTGCTTTAGGATTAGTATAACCTAGATATGAGTCTTAAGAAGGTTTATAAAGTGTGTAGCATCTCATAATAAAGCCAATCACACCAAAGAAGGTGTATGCGGCCACACACCCGAGTGTGCGGCCAGCCAGCCGCACACACTCCCTCATCCACACACCCGACTCTATATATAGTAGAGGACCCCATGCCATTCATTTTTTCTTCATTGGCTGCACACTACTCTCTCTACTTTCTCTCTCTAAAAATCTCATTCAAGAACACACTAAGGACCTCAAAATCGTGATTAACACCACCATCTAGCTTGTTGTACAGGTAAAACACTAAAATCTAGGCCTAAAACTCGACATGTTCTTCGCGTTCTTCATCCTTTGAAGGAGTGCGGCCTAGGGATGTCAAAAACCCCCCGTGGAACCCTGCTCCCGTGGGACCCCGATCCCGTATGGGACTAAATTTTAAAAAAAACCGGGAGCGGGAGCGGGAGCGGGAGCGGGGGCAAAATTAAACCCCGCTTATTTTCGGGACCGGGACCGGGAGTTGGTATTCCCGTCCCGTACTCCCGCGGGGCCCCGGTTGTACATTTATGTAAAAAAATATATATTTAATATAAAATACATATACAAAATAGATTTTCTAATTTTAAGTGTAGGTTAGGTTTCACTTTCCCGTTTTCAATTAATAGATATTGAAGAGGTAGTGAATTGATCATATATTTTTTGATATGTAAGTATTTTATATTTGTAATATTGGATTTGTCATATTTTATATTTTTAAGATTGATGGAATTGTCGTTTTGTAATATTGAATTCGTAATGTTGAATTTTTAATTGTTTAGTTTCTAAAAGATTATGTTTTAAACTTTTAAAGTTATTAAAAACAAGCTTTTTAGCCTAACACAAAATAGTTGTTTAGCAGAAAAAACGAATTTTAAGCGGGGGAACCGGGGGAACAGGGGCGGGACCGGGGGTGATGGAGGTAACCGGGAACGGGACCGGGGGCTATGTAAATGGGGGAGCCGGGGGCGGGACCGGGAGCGGGGGCAACAATTGATTTCGGGGGCGGGAGCGGGAGCGGGGGCAGCTATTCCCGCTCCCGTTTGGTCCCGTTGACATCCCTAGTGCGGCCGCACACCCTCATAAAGTGGCTGCACACACTCAAATACCCTCCAAAGTGAGAGTTTGGCCCCCTGTATTCGAAATTAGACTTGGTTTGTGTCACACCCTGCTAAAGCGGAAATGCAAGATATGACAGCGATAAAGGTTTCATTACAAAAGATAAAGATACATCACCATAGCAATATTTAAAAGTTTGCAACCCATAGCTTAAAAAAAACAAAGTACAAGTTTTCCAAAATGACATTGTTCAATGTAACAGTCGGGTTTCCAGGTATATATTATTTTATTGTATTATTTTGAATTATGGGAGGGAACTCGGCGAGTTGATGCGTAGACTCGCCGAGTAGGGTCGCGATTGTTCATCCAGCTTTGCTTTGGACTCGGCGAGTCCATGAGTGGACTCGGCGAGTCCACGCTGTTTAATGAAACCCTAAATCCCCGTGTTTGGAGCCTATATAAGGGCACTTATAGCCTCTCATTGCGGCTACCAGTCCCTTGAGAGAACCCTAAGAGAGCCAAATCGTTGTAAGGAAGAAGAAAACACTTTTGATCCATGTATTTTATGTTTAGCAAGAAGGAAGTGCAATAGCAAGAGGGGAGGTGCGATTCTAGCAGTTCCAGGGATTCAGAGACTTCATTTTGAGGTAATAGTTCGAACCTCCTTCTGTTTTGGTGTTGATCTATAGAGTTAGGGTTTTCTAACCCCTTTAG